TGGATTACAGACTCTGTTTCCAAGGGGTTAAAGCATTGCTACAATGGGATTATCGAGACGATATGGGATTATAATCAACACAATGGAATACCAAGAACATTGTGGAATTACCTTGACTTTGTTTCCTTGCTGGATTACTTCTGACTTTAGTCTTCCTTGAAGGATTACTTCTGACTTTGGTCTTCCGTACTGGATTACATCAAGCTCAAGGACATTTGAAGGTCTAAGTTCACGGTTGGAATTCATCCCCATGGACAGGTGATGATTTCCAAAGGGGGGACTGTAGTGAACCTGGTCTGACCCTTATCTGACCCTGATGACCTCAAATCTACCAGATGGACAGAGACTGTTATTTTCATTGATCTGAATAAGTCTGAGCCATCTGATGACTTTCTTTCTTGAATTAATCAAGCAGAAAAGACAATTCTTTATAATCATTACTGTCTTACAAATGTTTGATAATCAAATTGTGTTAGTTTCACTCAATGCTTACAGGTTGAAAAGAACTACTCATTTTTATTTTACATAAACAGTAAGTAATGATTTTTATTCCTCATTCAAAGAAGAAATCACCTGAATATGCATTTCTTGATTTTCTGTCTGAAATGAGCCAAGTCGTAAGTATGTGAAAGTTGAAGCTTCGGTCAACTAAATGTTTACTGAAAAAGGGATGTCATGTTTTACTATTTGGAAAGATACAACAGAGTGAGGCTCCAAAAAGTCTGCTTTTCTGCAATAATCTCTCTGTCAGTTGTTAAACAAATCTCATTCCCTGACCTCGACTTTTGATAATACCTTACGTCAAAAACCACACCTCTTTCTGGTACATCCACGAATCAGAAAGCTCTAAATTGAACCGGAAGTCGACCCATTTAAAATGTGGCAACTCCCCAGTTCAAGTTAGTTCTGAAGCAGTTCTCAAGTTAGTGCTCAAGGAGTTCTGAAGAGAATTGGTTAGAATTCATGGAGAATGGTGAAGTGAATGGAAGAGAATTCGAGAATTCAGGAGAGTCAGAGACGTTTGGAATTATAACTTCTGTTTGAACAACCCACGCACGACTATCTAAGGATTTCAGCAGCTCTCAACGGAGACGCTGAAAGGTCTGGAGGACTCTCTATCGAGCTGATCTATCATCAACAAGGTAACGGTCTCTTCTTCGACTAAAGTGTACCGGAAACGAGCTGAGATCTGATGAAGCGTGCACGTTCTGGTCAACAGATATTAATTCTCTCACATAGTTCTCTGTAAGAAAATCTCCATTTCATCTTAAACTCTTCTCTCTCTCACAAAACCAGTACAGATATTTTAGAAATATCTGAAGCAAAGTCCTCGTTCACCGCCGAGTGATCGACGCTCATTTTCTGTGAAACTTGTCTGTTATTATTTTCATATTTTGCCAAATTAATGTAAATGTTTGATGTTAAACTTTGATTCTGAAAATAAATGACTCCATTCATTTTGATGGGTCAAAGGTAAATAACGTCTCTCGTTACATTTCTGTTGAACTCAATACACGACATTACACAGTCAGAAAGATGAGGAACTCGTGAAAAGTATGCATAAATATATACCACATATATTTGTCATACAACTAGTGGCACGTACCAACGTGACTCACTACAATATAATTATTCCTAGAAATAAACAACTATTTCAAATCAGTGTTATCACTAAGGTATAATCACGTTAAACAAACAGTGTTAACAGTTTTAAACGCAGACACAGAAACTAAGATGAATCTGCCTTAAAAACAGAATCACCAGGCCTCCAACAGATATTGAATTAACACCCATGAGGTAGGTAATAATTAATAGTTATTAATTATTACGTATAAACAACTTAGACACGAATCATTTTGTATCCCTAAAAGTATAGCAAGTTAAACTTTAAACAAAAGCCGATTTCGGTGAACCAAAACTTATCTGAAATATAGACGTTAACGTCCTTGAGGGGGCGGGCTAAGTCGTAACCATAGCGACAGAAGCTGAACCAATCAGGAAGCTAGCCTTCTCAAACGGGGATAAAAGGCCGGGAATGACGCACGCGCACCGAGCATTTTTCCGGGAGACGCACACGAGGCGGTTCGTTCTTAATGCTCCATTTATATGCATATATCTTATTAATGTAATTGTTTGTCTCTGAATATCTGTAACCCATGTTGTGTCAAATAAATCTTTTATACGAAGGGCGACGCCTCCGCCGTTTTGAACACGACGTGGTATTCTATCCACAACAAAACCCAGAATTGTGCTGCTCAATGTGGCTGCATGTTGGAGTAGCTCTCTTACATTCATTCTGAGATTTTGCTTTTGAAAACTTTAATTCCTGTTTTTTCTGGATGTAAATCACTTTTTTTGGATGATTACTTCCTCTAGTATCAGATGAAAGGATTTTTACTGAAATCTTTTTTACTTTTGGACATTTGCTATGATGTGTAACCATAACAACAAGGTAGTTTTTTACAACTGGGAGCTGCTGATTAACATCTCAAAAGCTCAAATAAGACCTGTACTGCAGCCCCAAATCCCAAATGAGTTGAAAAGGAGGTGCCATGGATGCATCTCTGTCTCCCTGGAGGCGGTGCTCGAGTGCCTGACCGCTGAGATCTTGGAGGTACTTGGAGGTAGTGAGAAACACAGCTCGTGAAAGCTGGAGGACCAAGATTGTCCCTTGACACCTGCAGTTAAGTCCATGGTGAAGAGGGGCTTGGCAGGCTTGCTGGGTGAAATGGCCATCACTGGGGGAGGAGTTCTGCCCGGCATTCAGACAGTCCTGCTGCCCAAGAGGACCGAGAGGTCTGCTGGGTCTGGGTGGACGGATCGGCATCTGCAGCCAGTTCCTTCAGATCCGCTGTGGAAAGGACTGCTGCTACAAGAAAGCCATCAGCATCTATAACAACTCTAATGAAACCAGGATGAGCTACATCAACAATTAATTTCCCTTTGGGATTAACAAAGTATTTTTGAAATGAATTTAATTGAATGTCAGGTGGTGTGGAGGTTCGACTGGCCTGACTTTGAGATGGGAGTGCAAAAAATGTGGGGAGGAAAAATGTACAAAAACTAAAACAGATTTATCTTACCATCTTTCCCCGCTGTTGCGCTGAGCGGGTCTCTCGCAGGGTGAAGACATTTCCACAGACGGAGATCTCCCTCCATACTCCCGGTTTAGAGTCTTGTGTGAAGCCATGGCGAGGGTGCATCACCAGAACGCCGTTGGTGGTCAGCCCATCCATTTGGCCATCACACGTCTTCCACTTAGCAGCTTTCTCCTGATGAGAACAGAGACATGAAAAATGGAAGATTTACTGTGACACACTGAGAAGAGCTGCAGCTGGAAATAACTAGACAAAAAAGTAAATGATCAAGCGTCTGATAAGAACCCTCTATTGTCAAGACATAAGAAAAAAAACATAGCTGGTTTTGATATTATTGCCAGTACATGTCTGAAGCATGAGATGGGACCATTCTCACCCCCAGGAAGATGTTCTTGGAGGAGTCAAAGCCTGCAGCGTAGATGCGAGCTGTATAAGGCGGCGTGCGTTGACATATGATGCGGCAGGCAAAGCGGGAGATGGTGCTCTGGACTGACTGAGTGTCTGCGTTACTCTGGCTGCCAGCCACCGTGTCTGTCACCACAAAGTCTATCGGACTCTCTGTGGATCGACCAATCTGGAGAAAAGAGACGGAATGATTAGGAGGAAGGATGTCCAGCTATGAGATGACATGTTCATATTTTCTCCTTCTGGAGATGCTAGCAGGAACAACAGCATATATAAATATATACAGGTCCTTCTCAAAAAATTAGCATATTGTGATAAAGGTCATTATTTTCCATAATGTAATGATAAAAATGAAACTTTCATCTATTTCAGATTCATTGCACACCAACTGAAATATTTCAGGTCTTTAATTGTTTTAATACTGATGATTATGGCATACAGCTCATGAAAACCCAAAATGCCTGTCCCAAAAAATTAGCATACCATGAAAAGGTTCTCTAAGCAAGCTATTAACCTAACCATCTGAATCAACAACGTAACTCTAAACACCTGCAAAAGATTCCTGAGGCTTTTAAAAACTCCCAGCCTTGTTCATTACTCAAAACCGCAATCATGGGTAAGACTGCCAGCCTGACTGCTGTCCAGAAGGCCATCATTGACACCCTCAAGCAAGAGGGTAAGACACAGAAAGAAATTGCTGAACGAATAGGCTGTTCCCAGAGTGCTGTATCAAGGCACCTCAGTGGGAAGGGAAAAGTGTGGCAGAAAATGTTGCACAACGAGAAGAGGTGACCGGACCCTGAGGAGGATTGTGGAGAAGGGCCGATTCCAGACCTTGGGGGACCTGCGGAAGCAGTGGACTGAGTCTGGAGTAGAAACATCCAGAGCCACCGTGCACAGGCGTGTGCAGGAAATGGGCTACAGGTGCCGCATTCTCCAGGTCAAGCCACTTTTGAACCAGAAACAGCGGCAGATGCGCCTGACCTGGGCTACAGAGAAGCAGCACTGGACTGTTGCTCAGTGGTCCAAAGTACTTTTTTCGGATGAAAGAAAATGTTGCATGCCATTCAGAAATCAAGGTGCCAGAGTCTGGAGGAAGACTGGGGAGAAGGAAATGCCAAAATGTCAGAAGAC